GGGGCCCCGCCGGGCGAGGGGAGGGCGGAAGGGACGGGCGGCCCCGGGACAGGCGGAGATTTACGTCCGTTACAGCGGGAGGGGTGCTACCGCCTCCGCCTCAGAGACCGTGCCGGTGGGCGCCCTCCTCAGCAGAAATCCCGGGGGAGCGTCTCTCCTCTTCTGAGGAGCGACCTCGTGTCTGTGCAGGCCGGAGAATTAACTGGGTTCAGCGCTCGCGCCCTGGAGGCTCCCCCGCCCTTCCCTCCCGTCGCCGGGGCATTCCCGGGCTCAAGAACAGGTCAGGTCACTGGCCCGGCCCGGCCCGGGGCACGGCTTCGCCATCCGCGACCGTGCTGGGACTGGCGGGCTGCGACAGGCGGCTGGGGGCCTGGCTGAGGATGCTCCACGTTTTTACTGCGGAAGGCTTTGCCTCCGGCGATCACAACCCCGCTTATAAATGGATTGCATATGCTATTCTGGAAAGTAGTTTTGTTGTAAGATAAGTTTTAAAATACATTGAAAAAGACAACCGCCCCCAGATTGGTAGTTTTTAGCATCTAAGAGGTGAATCTTGGTTTATGCAGCTTAATCTTTCTCACCTTTTAGTTGAAACTTAGTGAAAACAGCGAAACAGTGTTCCTGTAGATTAAATAAAACCATAAGGCAAATGAATGAAATCATGACTGCACTTATGCAAGGCATGCACTTTGAAAGATACACTCATTTTATGATTTTATACCCTGATTTTTTTTTTTCTCCCTTGTGCCCTGGCTAGTTAACAGATACTAGAAATATATAAGCTCCTTAAATACTGTGAGCACATTCCTAAGGTACTGTAACTTTGCCTATGCAGCCATACAGCAGGATTTGTTCAAGGAATTATTATCTAATGGTAGCATTAATACTTGTTAGTCACTGTTTATCGCACGAGGAGCTTGCCTGGGGATACAGTCATAGCTAATAGGCCATGCCTGTTGGATCAACCAGGAGACCTCTGGATTTTCTCCCAGGAGGGATGGAAGCAAAAGGAGGGCTAGATGAATTATTCTGTTGTACTACGGTTTATGGGCCACAGGCTGGGAATTTATCTTTGCTTAGATTATTTACGTGTTCCTAAACCCTTTGTTGCTGCAAGAGGTAATACATGTTGAATACTTAATGTGATTTACAAAAAAATATAACCGTTGTAATTCATGTAAGAAGGATTTGGAAGATTTATTGTAATTTAGAAAACTTAGATTTTTTATAAAATGTGCAAATTCTCAAATTTTAAAAAAATACAGATGTGCATGTATACAAGTAGAAAACTGGTATTTACATTATCGCTGCTTATACATAATGTATTAATGAAAATTTAAAATGTTTTTCCCTTTGATTTTCCTGCACTTTCTGAACATAGTCTTGCAATATGTTTTTCTGTTCCTTAACAGGTCTTTCTTCTTCAGGAATAAAGCCATGGCTTAAATGAGTCATAGCAATTTAGATAAAACAACCGTTGTCGAGCTATAATTACACCATTATTTGGTAAGGCAAACTATCAACCTTCCCACAGGGAGAATCTTTGCAAAGTGATTACTCTTCAGTTTGACTCAGCCTGATGTCTGTATATATATGGTTTATAAATTTCCACTAATATGTTTAACAAGGATGTTTTTGAATAGTTTCTTCATAGTTTTTTTTTGTATTTTAACAAATGTGGTTAATTGAAATCTTTCCAGTTCCTGATAATCTTTAACCATTTCTGCAAATAAGCATAATTTTTATTATTAACTTTAAATTTCTAGTTCTTTTTCCCTCTCAGTGTAATTAATTGCTTCCTTTCTGCAAGAAATGAAATAATAATAAAAATTAATTCCCATGATTCCTGCTGCTTAAAAATAGATTTTAAAATCAAAGCCTGCTTTACAGTATGAGACACAAATCCTGCAAGACTGGCCCCTGTGAGATGCCCCCTTCACATTACCACCTCAGTAGTAACATTAATTTATTCTGCTGTGATGTTTTATACTGTCAAAGACTTTTATTGGGCAGGGGGCATGTGTCCCAAGGATAGCTTTTCGTTAGGCTTTTAAACTTCTGGATAGCCTGTGGAACTCATCTTCTGCTTCATATTCAGTCATCTTGCTCAAGACCTCCTTCCTAAGGAGACACTGGTTGGTTAGCTTCAGCACTTCCTATCCCTTGGAGCTTTCTAAGCTTGTTAGTTTATACTTTGTATTTCAGTTACTTTTTGGCTTAAACTATCTTTTGGTTCTGACATTTGACACTGATTATGCTGCACAGAAATGTGTAATTTTCTAAGGACAATTTTTCCCCCACAAAATTTCCAGATTTTTACAAAATAGCATCTCACCAGGAACCTGTCAAATTCGTAGTCTTTTTAGTCTGTCTTGCGATGTTAGGTAAAGTAGCAAGCAAAGCTACATCAGACCTGTGGAATTCCCAAGGTGGAAACGAATTGTGTGCACATAAGATTCTAGTATAGCATAAAGTGTTGGTATTCAAGATCTCAAGAGGTGCAGGAGACTGGCTTCTTTCTGAAATGGCAGTTGGGAGATGAGGCAGAAAATCTGTGAGTGGCTAAAATGCAACTGGATGCCAAATTTTAGGCAACTGAATTGAGGTGCAGGAGTCACATTTAGATCCCTAAATTTAGATATCGAAATGTGAGCCAACTATTCAACCTCTGCTAGTCACCTGAGAGGCATCAATAGAGAGCTAAGGTGTGACTCAGTTGCCAGTGCAAAGGAATGTGTTTAGTGAGACACATGTTAGATAGAGTATTTGACTTAGCCTCTAGCTGCCGCTTAGTAAGTAAAGCTGTAGGTCCTGTGCCATTTCTGTCAACTGTGTAGGGATTTGGGATACCTCAGAGGCTCAGATGGCACCAGCTGCTTGTATGTAGGCAACCAAATCAAGCCCTCAGTGATCCTGCTGACCAGCCAGTGTACTTTTCAGCATGTGTAGGCCTGTAATAATTGTAAGGGCTGGAGTGGAAGCAATGAAGTATTCACTAAACCTTTATTTACCTTTCAACAACTCTAAATTTAGTTTTAGATCTTCTCTACATGCAGCAAAGGAACATACATCATGAGTTTAACTATTTTCTTTTGAACATTGCTATTATGGTCAGTTTATTGAAAAAGAATAAACACATGAAAAATGCTGCAATATTTTACATGCTTGAGGCCAAAATCTGATCTCCTACATCATGTGGTATGCCACTTATAAAAGGTTAGCAGCAGAGCATAATAGGACAAGTTTTAGGACTTTCAGACAGGATGATGCAATGTTTTTTGGATGGGCTTTGTGTATCTCTATTTGTTGTCTGTGCAGCTGTTAGTAAATTAGAAAAGATACACAGGGTCACTTGCAAACCATACAGGATTTGTAGTTCTCATTTTTTCCCCTATCTGTAACATTGTAAAACATGTCTCTTTTTTTGTCATATAAATTCATGATAAGGCATCTGTACACTTCTGCATTTTCAGGGCATGCAGAGTGTTTCTAAATGACTTCTGTTTCCGTTTAGTAACTCCTATTGATATTATCAAAACTTGACTGCAAACCCAAAGCAATCCATTTTCAAAGGTAAATATATGTGTAGTGTAATGGAGGACACCGTTTGCTTTTTGCTGTTGTATTTAGCTGATAGTTATCATAATGCTGAGCTACAGAACATTTTCATTTGTTTCACAATAGTTATGTTTGTTTCTTCAGCGTAAGTGGGAGGAAAAGAAGCAACACAGCAATATATACTGAAATTGCTAAAGAAAGAACATGCCACTGAAGAGACACAGTGGAAAAAAAATCCCATAAATACACACCATTTTAAACAGGCTTTTTTCTATCTTAGTATTTTAATTGTGGCAAAAGGTACAACTATTACTGAGTTTAAAAAAAAATCTACTAGTATATAACTAAATACTTAATCAGAGGGCTTATGTCATGAGGATGCTGTATCAAAGTTAATCTCCTCCAGAATCCAGAGACTTTTGAAAAAGAGTAGTAAGTCTTAGCTGAGTCACTTGCCATTTGAGTTCTAAGTAGATAAAGACATTGTGTGCTCAAAGATATGCCAATGATTCCTACTATTTTATTGTAAATAATAAACGAGATTTAAAAGGAAAGAAGATGACTGGTGTTTCATGTTGCATGTGGAGATGAATATCTGCAGTCACACTTGCTGTAAATCAGGAAGAATACTTGTGCCTTCTATCTTGTGTTTTTAGTAAATTCTAAACCCTTAAGAAATCTGAAAATGTGACACTCAAAGTGTTTTTCTGTAATGACAATAATATTTTATCAAGCAGGTTGAATATACTTTATGTAGGAAAAATCAAAAACAAGTAGAGAGGATGATCTAGAGTCTAACCTAAGACACAATACCTCCACTTGTAATGTGGATGCTGAGGCTATTTAATAAAAGATTTAAAAGTCCGAAAGATGTTCATATTCTTACATGTGGTAGTGACATTCGGGTCTTGTGTTGTCTTTAGCCTTCAGGAGATGGTAGTATACCATAAACATGTCTCCTGGAGCCTGCAAGGGTAGTTTCATTTAGTCTGGCACTCTGAGAAGTACTTTTGCTCCCTCTTTCCTTTTACCCAATTTGTTGTCATAGATTTTCCAAGATTATTTTGCCTCTCTTGTCTAACCAGAGATAAATCTGTGTTGCCATTATATCCAACTAGAAATTGCTGCTGAGTAAGAACAATCTTACTATATTAACTATATTCTTATATACCATTTTATTAGGAAAGTGGTTTGTATACTTCGATGGCCTTATGGATCATATGTGTGTGTGTGAGAATGGGAACAGCAAAGCCTGGTATAAAAACCCTGGGCATTTCAAAAGGACATAATAATGTAAGAATATTAAAATGTAAGAAGATTTTACATTTATATAAAACTGTGCACTCAGAATTAAGTAGCATACTGGAAATGTATTGTTTTTTTCAA